TGTTCATGGGTAAGGTACTGACAAGGGATAGTCAGCAAGGGGAGAGCGGAGAGAGAAGCATCTGGGAACCAAGGGAGGAGGATGTTTCAGGAAAGCCAATAACATCCAATCTTGTGGAGCTCAAAGAGCAGGAAAGCTAAGGAAAACAATTTGGATTTGCTCTCTGGTGGATCCTGGGGGAGAATTTTGGTAAACTGTTGGCAAGGGGGAGTCATGAATGAAGGGGCTAAGGAGGGATTGTCTATGCTTCTGGAAGATGGACAGGAATAGTTTTTGTCTCTAGCTTCTGCATCGTGCTTTTCAGTGGTGAAGCATTCTGTGCAACCAGCACATTCACCAATTACAGACATATTGCCTGAAATGTCTAAATAGGATTCCATTAGGACGCAGTCCCCTGAAATAGAACAGATGCTCTATCACCTACCATCTAGTCATTTACTAGTGATAGCATGTGCTTTGGGAAAAGCCCTGTGCCAGATGTCAGAAGACCTGGTTTCTATTCCTGGCTCTGATGCCAACCAACTGGATTACCTTGGCCAGATCATTCAATAAGAGCTCTTTATCCATACACCAGCGAGGTTACTTCCCACTCCTTATCTGGTATTGTTGTTCATTTTGGACTCCCCCCAAATATATTACCTTGCAAATTGTGGCTGCTAAATAAATCCATTTGTTGTGTGGATGGATGGAAGGATAGACGGGTAGGTGGATGAGCTACAAATTCTGGAGCTCAGTTTACACATCTATAAACCAAGGGGCATCAATTCAAGCTTCCTGAGATTCCTTCCATCTCCAATCATCTATGACCATGCTTTTTTTTTTAATCACAAGCAGAATTATTCCAAAGTTGCTTAGAGCTAGCACACCTGGGCCAATTAAGCTTTTGTAGAGCATTCCATTTAATCTCCTTGAGGTTAGAGACTGGGCCATCTATTGTCACAGCTCCAAAGCCTTTCTTCTATGATCAGAGATAGGATCCTAGAAGATTGATACTAAGCGTTCATTGGAGGAAAAATAAATCACTTCCAACTATACTCTGATTCTCTAGAGACACATTTAAAGATATGTAGCATGTGGTTCTCATGGTAGAAAACATGCCATGGTGTTTGCCAGCTACTCCAAGATTGTTCTTGATGACAGGACGTGTCCCTGTAACCAGTTTCTGGTGAGACATCTGCACGCGGCTTTGCAGCTTCAGGATGTCCCTACATCCGTCAGCCCATCAACAGAGAATCTAGGAACATCAGCACAGAGTCCCAGTCACAGTGTAAAATGTAAGCTGACAGCTTGGAAAGCATCCAGAGGCGAGTGGCCAGGAGGGTGAAGGGTCTGGAAATGACCGAAAATGAGGAGTGGTTAAAAGAACTAGGGGTATTATCCAGAAGAGAAGATGACATGGTAGCTGCTGCGAATGGTGTAGTCCAAGCTAACTTGGACTAAAGTTGATACTTTCTTCTCTGCACGGGCTTCCTGAGAACAAACCTGTGACTGGTGGATGGAAGTTACGGGGAGGCTGATTTCAGCTCATTCTAAGAACTTCAGAAGATTTTTTTCAACCAAGTTATAAGAATATAGAGTTGACTGCCCTGGGAAACAGGCAGTGGGTGACAATTGCCAAGGATGGAGGAAAGACCAGGTGACTTCGGAGGTCTCTTTCAGTGTGGAGATTCCAGGATTCTAAAGAATTTAGAACTGGAGTAAAGAGAAAGCTCTTTGCTTTGTCAGTTTAGAAACCATCTGCTGCTCTTCACTGTGCTTCATCTCATTCCCAGCTGATCTCCTCCAAATACAGTTCTCTATTCAGCAGTTCTAGTCTCCCATCTGAAGTGATTATAAACCTCTCTACTCTCTTTAAAAAAAAAAAAAAAAAAAGGATCTTTTCTTTTCCAAATAAAGAGCTTAGGAGGTCTCAGCAAGACTGTACCTACATGGAGAAATCCCATAAGAAATAATTAAATAATTAAGTAAACAAACAAATAATAAACCTCCAAGCCAAAATTATATAGCAGTGAAGGCCACACCCCCCAAATTCAGGTTGTCTGGCTGTCCAGAACACAGAGCTTTTGTCTGTCTTCAGGGATGATGGATTTGTCTGACCCAAGATTGGACCTCTTAAATTCAGTTCTGGGCACGGGTAGGTGGGAAACCCTCTGAAGCCCACACCCCCTGAAGGTGGATAGAGAGGGAGAAACTCTGTCTCCATGGAAACTAGGGGTCCCAAGCATAAACAATCTTTTTTTTCACCTGGAGCCAAGTCTTCGAAAAGTGACTCAGCCTGAGGTTTGCACACCGGGGGCCTCCTATCTGGTGGTGTTGATGTCAGTGGAGCCTCTGATGGAGAGATTTTCTTGGAATTATTCAGAGTGGCCCACAAAATAGAAATTAATCTATCAAATGCAAGGCCTAAAATAAAAACTGATTCACAACCACTTTATTTGTGACAACACCACTGGCAACTAGAAGTAGCCCTTGGCTCCCCGACCCAGGGTTCAATTGGAATTTTTTTCACAGTAGCACAAACGTCCAAGCCAGAATGGCTATTCGGGATGATTCAACCCCCTCATTTTACAGATGAGGTTTTGTTTGAAGCTTAGTTCCAAGCAGGATTGGTATCCAACAGGAAAGCATTAACATTTTCCAGAAGCAGCCCTTGCCTCCCAGCTGAAGGCTACTTTAACACGAAAGTCCAAGTCTTCTTTCAATTAGCTCGGGTGCTCTGGGCACAATTACTAGAAAATGGGTGAGTGAGGGGGAGACCCCAGGTAAAAAAACCTGGTGATGTGTCCACGGTCACCAACTGAGCCCTCACTTGTGTGGTTGGTGATGGAGGGAGCAGCTCGTTCTAGGTGGCAGCTACCAGTCATCGGGGGCCACTCTGGGAGAGGCACCTGAGGGAGAGGCACCTGAGGGACAGGGCGCAGGTAGAGGTGGCAGCTTCTGTCTCCATCAAGCTGGGTATCAGATGCAAGGGCGCCACCTACTGGTCGAGGAGATCAAGGGGCTCTCTGCATCCACTGTGGGCAAAGAAACTGTACTGAGCTACATGTGCTGGGCTGCTTCTCCAGGGCTCTGACCTGTTTGGAGAGGAGCCTTTTCTCCAGCTGCGTCCCCAGCACCCTCCCTCCTCCACCAACCTTGGCTCCTGCACCTGCTGCATCTGACAGGCGAACTAGGTTCCACCACACTACCAGGTGTAGCAGAGGAGGAGCTCCAATTCCCTGGCATGGGCTCTCTATGAACTCACAGAAGACCGTGCCTGCATGGGTTTCTCTTCCGTGTGTGTGTGTGTGTGTGTGTGTGTGTGTGTGTGTGTGTGTTTGGGGGAAAGGAAGGCGGAGTGAGGGACGTTGTGTTGTGCTGACAATGCAGGTCTGTTCTGAAGCCCAGAGGAAAACATTAGTACAAAGTAAAAGAAAGAAAATGTTGGTGTTTCCAAGAATACTTAAATAATTGCTGCTATTCTGGCCCTCAGATTGGTGGTGTGTCTGAGTAATAGTTCTGGCCTGAGTCCTTTATACCACACTGTGTCCCAGAGGGCAGGCTGGCTCTGTCATGTCTGTAAGGATTTACCCAGGGTGTGTGGTGCTCTGGGGGACTCCACGGCGACACAGAGGAGCCAAACACTGAGCTATAAGGAGAGACAGTGAAGATGGCACTTCGCTGTTGAGGGACACTCCTCGGAGCTCACAATTCATAGCACTTCAGACATGTGGAGGCTTCTGGGGGGCCTCCTCAGTTCCACTCCAGGCTCCTCCTCCATGGGGAAGGTTGGCTCCATGCCTGCATCCCTTCTGGGTCAGAAGACACTTACTGGGCTGCCTTGGGGCCACTCAGGCCCCGGAATTCCGCCCCCCCCCCAGTCATTCCCACTCTGCCACCCCGGGCCCCTCCCCAGTCCCGGGTGCATCCTCAGGGCTGTCACCTGCCAGAGGGCCAGCAGGTGCCTCCTCTTTCAGCTCCTGCCCTTAAGAGGGGGCTTATGATCTGTTCATCCTCCACCCGCTCCCTGGGATGCCCTGAAAGCCTCCACATCAGCAACCAGACACGACATCCTTGTTCACTTCCAATCCTTCCTTCCCGCTTGGACACTAATCACCAATCTCCCAGGCCAGAAAAATCTTCGCTCAGGTAGTACTACTCCTCGATCTTTTCAGACTCCCACCTGGAGGGAAGCTTTGGAGTTTAAGAGCCAAACATTATGTTAATTTATTCTGTGGTTCCCCCAGGATGTTTCACCTTGGAGTAATGCTGAGTTGGTGTCTCCCTATCCAAGTAGGGAAGAGTCACATTTTAAGGCAAAACTGGGGGGAGGGGATTCAAAACAGTTCCTACTACACATGTCATCTTGTCCCCACTGCCTTGCTCTCACCCCATGGCTTATCCCTCTTCTGGGTGGGGCTGTGTCACCTCAGATGGCAACTCCTTCTAGTGACGGCCGCAGGGAGGAAAGGCGGGGATACATGTCTCTTCGGGTTGCTGTGGAAGGAGCCCATGGCCCTGAAGGTGTGTCCTGGGTTCCCAGAGCCTGAGCTTTGGTCCTGGGCTCCCACCCACGGACCCTGCTGAAATTCTGGGCTGCAGAGCAAAGGGTTCAAACCCATGGCTTTGGCATTTGTATCTGGGTTTCCCACACCCTAGCCATGCCACCTTAGGGAAGGACTTAATTCCCCCAACCTTAGTTTTCTCATCTGTAAAATGGGGTTACCAGTACAATCCACAGTCCCTTTTCTGAAATCCTTGGAGTCAGATATGCTCCAGAATTGAGAATTTTTCAGCTTCAATCATGTAACTTGGTGTATCTACTCTATAGGACATAACAACCACTGGGGTCTGAAAGCACCTTGTAATCAAACACATTAGTGTTTCTGACACTGAACTTCTGAGCAGTCACACTACATAAAATAAAGATCATAAATTGTCCTGTGTCTGTTCAGTTCAAATTTTGTTACCAAACAATTTTTTAAAAAATTTTTGTTCAGTTTTCAGAGCCTTGAAGGGTTGTAGTTACAGATAAGGGTCAGGCTACCCTGTGTCTCTGTAGATAATGGCATGCAGCACAAAGAGGTAAAAAAATGTTCATGGTTTGATGCCAGACCAAACACAGCTGTGAACCTTGGGATAAGACAAGTCTCCTGAGAAGGCCAAGGGTGATGGGTGGGGAGAATCATTCTGGAGCAGCAGTGCCATTACCCAAGTGTGTGGACAATTGGTTCGAGCTCCAGAGATCTTGAGCCTCAGCCATCACAGACCCCTGAGACTTTCCAGGCGTCTGATCAATCCTCCTCCAGAGCTGAATCTTCCTCTGGTGGGTCCTCGGTGAAGACCACTGCCATGTGGGTGGCAGTGACCAGTAGGACCAGAACGACCACCACATAATCGTCCGCAGGCCTGGGCTCCTCAACCATTATGGGTTGCTGCCTCCGACGGCTGCAGCTGCTCTCCACCTGCGTGGCCTTCTCCCTGGGAGCCAGCGTGGGCACCTGGAAGGGGACCATAGGTAACTGGTCCATGTTCATCTGGTGCTTCTGCTTCGTCGTGACCCTCATCAACCTCATAGTCGAGTTATGTGAGCTCGAGGATCACTTCCCCTTCTCCTGGGACAACTTTCTCATCACCTGCAACTGCTACTCTGCCCTCCTCTGCCTCTCGGCCTCCATCATCTACCCCACCACCTACATTCAGTTCTTGCCCGATAGCCGCTACCGGGACCGCACTATCACCTCCACTGCATTCTCCTGCCTTGCTTTTGTGGCTTATGCCATGGAAGTGGCCTGCACTAGGGCCCAGCCCAACATGATCACAGGCTATATGGCCACCATGCCAGGCCTGCTCAAGGGGCTGGAGACCACTGTGGCTTGTGTCATCTTTGTCTTCATCAGCAGCCCCTACCTGTACCTGCACCAGCCGGCCCTGGTGTGGTGCGTGGCCGTGTACTCCATCTGCTTTCTCCTGTCATCTGTGGCCCTTCTGCTGAACCTGGGCAAGTGTGACAACAGGCTGCCCATCCCCTTCCCCATTTTCCAGGTTGTGCTCACTCTGCTCTCCGTCCTCCTCTATGCCACCGCTCTGGTCCTCTGGCCGCTCTACCAGTTCAACCAGAAGTTTGGCGGCCAGCCCCAGCGGTCCAGCGATGTGAGCTGCAGCGATAGACTCACCTCCTTGGTGTGTACCTGGAACCAACGACTGGCTGTGGCCAGTCTGACAGCCATCAACCTGCTGATTTATGTGACTGACCTGGTGTTCTCGGTCCACCTGGATTTTGTCAGTGGCTGAGGCTTTGCCCAGGGGCTCCTGATTCCTCTTCTCACCTGAAGTTCGTTTCCAAGCCCTGACGTCCTCTGATGTGCTCTTCCTGGCTCCCCTCTCTCCCTGCTCACATCCTTCCCCAACCATCTCGCTCTCTTTTCTGCTCCCTTCCCTCCTTCTGCTCTGTCTCCTTCCTGTTTTGTGTGGTTGCCCACATTCTGTTTTGCCTCTTTCTCTTTTCACTCTCTTATTTTCTACATTTTCTGCTTTTTGGCCCTTTTCTGGTCATTTTTGTTTTCTTGTCTCCTGTGTCCTGACCGCCTCTTCCCCTTTTCCTTCTTCTGATCCACCGGGACCCTGAGCTTCTTCCTCCTCTGCCCACCGCCCCCGTCCCACCTCCTAAGGTGCTGACTCCACGTCACACAGCCCTCTGTGCAGCTGTTCACACCCTGGGCCTCCAGAGGGGCCTCACAGCCAAAGTATGCCTGTGCCCCTGGTGGCGCCTCCGTTGGTGTGTGTATATGGGTTTGGGGTGTGCCGGTGAGTAGGTAGGGATTGGGCCTCACTTCCTCCCAGTGGAGGGGGGTGTACAGTGCACCTTCCCTTTATTTAAAAAAAAAAAATCTCTGGAGGGCAATAATTTCCGGTGGTCAGGAGGCTTAAAGCAGAGACCCTGGGTCCCTAGGCCCCAGCTGGTGCTCGGCCCTGCCTGACACTGGCTCCAGAATTTTTCCCGGCTTACTAAAACCCACCTCCTAGAGGTCATCTTAAAAGACGCAAGGGCTGAATGCCTTCCATCTGAACTACTCTCTTGGGGATCAAAATAGGAGCTGGCAAAAAACTGCACGGTCTTGAAGACAACTGTCTGAAGTATTTGTGAGGGGCAGCGATGTGGCCCTCCTGCCTCAGAGTTCAAAACAGCATGTCCTGCCTCTGCGGGGAGAAGAAAATGGCCACTGCCAGCCTTAAAGCTGATGTTAGACTGGAATTTTTCTTTTTGTGTGAGTGGTCAGGAGGTCAAAAATTACTGGATGGCCCTGTTCTTTTTTTTTTTTTTCTAACAAAGATAAGATTGAGTTTAATTGTTTGTCTTTTTTTTCTTTTTTTTAAAAAATATCTTTATTGGAGTCTAATGGCTTTACAATGTTGTGTTAGTTTCTGCTGTACAACAAACAAAGTGAAACAGCTATATGTATACATATATTCCCCATATCTCCTCCCTCTTGCGCCTCCCTCCCACCCTCCCTATCCCACCCCTCTAGGTCATCGCAAAGTATCAAGCTGATCTCCCTGTGCTTTTCAACAACCTCCCCCCTGACCCCCCCCTTTTTTTTTTTTTTTTTTTTTTTTTTTTGGCTGCACCGGGGCTTCGTTGCTGCCTACGGGCTTTCTCTAGTTGTGGCGAGTGGGGGCTACTCTTCGTTGCTGTGCGTGGACTTCTCATTGTGGTGGCTTCTCTTGTTGCGGAGCACGGGCTCTAGGTGCATGGGATTCAGTAGTTGTGGCATGCGGCCCCAGTAGTTGTGGCCCACGGGCTCTAGAGCGTAGGCTCAGTAGTTGTGGCACACGGGCTTAGTTGCTCTGCGGCATGTGGGATCTTCCCGGACCAGGACTTGAACCTGTGTCCCCTGCATTGGCAGGCAGATTCTTAACCACTGCGCCACCAGGGAAGCCCGATGGCCCCATTCTTAAAGGCAGAGTTTCTTTTCTATTTTGGAGGGGAAGGTGGGTTGAATGGGTGGGGATTTCCGCTGCTGCAGTCAAAGGAACTGCAGTGCTTGAGTATGTGGTGCACACATGTGTTTCTGTATGTCAGTGGCTTTTTGTTGCTGCTTCCTGCTTCCCTGGGACTCATGCATAAAGTGACCTATATAAATGTAGAAATATATAAATATATATATTTTTTTTCTTTTTCTTTTAATTACCTGGAGCTTCTGGTCCCCGTCAGTCCCTGCTGTCAATCATAGAGAGAAATCTTGTCCTTTCTGCCACATCCATAACGTTCTTTTTTTAAAACCTCAATACAAAGATAAAAGAAAAAAAGAAAACAAAAATGAAACCAACAAAATCCACAGATCCTAACTGCCCCAAGTTTGACTAGAAATCAGAAGCAGCCTAGCTTTTAAAGGGGCCTTGCCAGCTCCTCGATGCCTCTCTTTAAAGGGGTGTGCTTTGTGCATACTGAGTGTGTAGTTGTGTGCGTGTGTCAGTGGGCATGCATGCATTAAGACCAGCAGCGCTTTATATAACTGTTGGCAGGGAAGTCACCCCAAGCCTTCTTCCTCTCCTGTTTTCAGCCACAAAGGCTCAGAGTCCAGCATCCTCGTGTCACCAGGGCCAGAGAAGCCAGGCAAGTAGAGCTGTGGGGAAGAGGCAGGGGAAGGACCTGCACTGCTGCCACTCACTCCTGTACTGGGATGAAGCAAGAAGCAGGCAAATCTTAAGAAGGAATGAAATAAAATTCTTATTTTAAGACGAGACAAGAAAAGTTTATTTGGCCAAATTCACTTAAAGCTGGGATAAAAAGTTAAACAGATTTCTTTATTGCAGGACTTCTTAGGACCTTGTATAGATTAGTATGCATTACAAAATTACCAAAAGAGGTATATAGCAGTAAGTGATTCCCCAACTTATGTGATCAGGGAACTCTTTCTTTTCGTGGAACATCAGGGACTAGTGGTCCATGGGATACCCTTTGGGAACCATCCGTCACATCTCCCCCCGCCCCCCACTGCCCCCAGACTGGTTCAACAGCTTGGCTTGAAAGGTTCTCACAAAATCACCTCCCGCAGTGGTCCATCTCCTCTGGGGCAGCTTTCATTCCTTAAGGGGTGCAAAGCCCACTTGCCCTGCTCTCTGGACTTGCACAGAGAATTTCAATCCCTGTTCAGCTGGAGAGTTCTCTGAAAAGTTCTCAAGTGTCCTTGTGTTTCCTGTCCTTACGTGCTCTAGACTGAATGTCTCTGCATTAAGTCAGGTGCTCCTTCAGGGCAGGAACTGGGCTTTGCTGTGGGATCTGCAGTGCCCAACACACAGTAAACACATGGTAAATAGTTTTTTAGGACAGAGATGAATAGAGCCTCCACAGTTCTCTCACGCACACCTCAACTCTGCCCCCATCTCCAGACCTTCCACGGTCCTGGCTGCCTGTGTTGATGGGCTGTGGAGTCACACATGGTGGCTCACATGTTTCCTGTGACATTCAGTCTCCAATGCTCATTGCTCCTTGGATACTTGACTCTCCAGATCCCACAACTCTCTTACACGTAATCTCACGATGGCATCTTGATCCCTCCTCAACGCCTTTGCACAAGCTGTTCCTTTGCCTGGGACATGGCCACCTCTTTATCAGTCTTCAGATCTCTGCTGAAATGTCACCTGTGTAGAAGGATCTTCCAAAAGTACATCTGCCCATCATGCTACGTCCTAAGACCCTGTTTGTTCTCTTCATCGTGCTGGTCACTACCTGAAGTTTTCTTGTAACAGTATTTAACAAGTTTATGGGTTTGTCATCTAACGCCTCCACCAGATGTTCCACGCAGACAGATGTCTAGTCTCTGCTGTCACCTCTGTGTCTCTGGGCCAAGTCAGTCCTGGGCATGGTGTGGACACAGTACATTTTGGACAAATGAACAACTGAAATCAGTAATCATTGGGGGAAGGGGGAGTTCTTATCACATGCACACAAAATGATAATTATTACAATAAAGGGGGTGGGAGGAAACTTTGGAGGCGATGAATATGTTTATGGCCTTGATAGTGGTGATGGTTTCATGAGTATATATTTATCCCCCAACTCATAGAGTTGTATACATTAAATATTTACATATGTTTACATGTCAATTATATCTCAATAAAATTGCTTCTTAAAAAATAAAATGTAGTTAAAAGTGCTACACAGTAACATGGGAAAGTGAGTAGAATATTTAAAAGACAAATCACATGTAGTACAATTATAATAATATAAAAATAAGTTTTTATGTTGAGATAAGTTACAAAGAAATACATGTTTCTATTACTTAAAAAAAAAAAAAAATCAATCATGGAGGTCTTCTCGTCCAAGATGGCTCAGACTCTCTTTCCACATTTCATCATAAACGCTTCTGTCACTCTTCAGTCAGACTCCAAGGGGCAGAGCGAGGCTTTGAGTCGCTGACGTTCTAACAGAGACTGATTCATGAGGAGCCGCCTCTGGCTGCCTGGCCAGCTCCGTGCAGTAGAGCCTGTGAAAGACCCTTGTCATGTTTCACCGTGTGGTCCTTCACTAGGATTGGCTAGACTGACCGAGAATTTTAATTTTTTGAAAAAATTCAAACCATCTTGAAACACACAAGCCAAGCATCCAGGTGCAGGTGGGAAGGATGAGCATGTTTATTGGGAGGCTCCTCAAGGAGATGCAGAGGCAGGAACGCAGGCTGCCTCCCTGATCCTCTGGCTGGTGTACCCCTTTCCTAGACTCCCTTCCCAAAGCACTCAGTACCCGGGTGCCCAGAGGGAGGGGCGGGGGTGCTGGGAGCACCTGGCATGGGGTCTGAGAAGGTTAAGGGAGCAGGAGGGAGATGTGAGGCTACAGTTGCCCTGGGGGGCATCAAATGTCTGGCACTCTTGGCCCCTCCCCATCATCAAGACCAGGTGAATGCTTGTTCCCTGAGTATTTCATAAGTCTGCCCCCATTTTCCACCTCTGAAAGTGTCTTTGCTCAAGGCCCATCATTACACACCTCGACCGTGGAATTAGCCCGGAAACTGGCCACCCAGCTTCTTGGCCAGCCTCCATTCTGTTTTCCTCCTAACGGCCAGAGTGACAGTTCCAAGGTGGGAATGTGATTGATCAGCCCCTCCTTACAGAATGTCAGTGAGGCATCATCACTTACAGGTAAATTCCAACTTATTTTTCAGGTGTTCAGGCCCATCCACTTTGGACCCTGTCTGCTGTACCTGCAATACCTCCCTTACTCCCTGCCTCACTTGTTGTGCTCAGATAAGACCTAGGAGCTTGTGGTGACCTGCCCACACCAGGCTCCTTCACAGAAGTGTCAGTCTGGGAGCAATGGGAGATGGAGTTGGTGGAATCCAGTTAGGCTTCCTGGAGGAGGTGATTAAGGGTCAAGTCTTAAAAGACAAATAAAGGTTAACAAGGCAAAGAAGAGAGGAAGAATTTTGGGTTTTATGATTTGCTCAAGGATCTCATGAATCTTCAGTGGTGAAGTTGATGTGACTACGGCTTGTGTGTGGGAGAGGGAGGGAGAAGGGAGAATTGAGCGTGGCCAACTGGAGGCCGGTCTATATGCCCACTTGGGTCAGGAATGAGGCTGTGGGGTGGCACAAGGTAAGGAGTTGGAGCTGAGACACTTTGGAAAAGCCAGGACCGTGTGGCCTGCAGCCTCAGAGCAAGAGTAGACAAGGAAAACTATGTCCTTCAGCAAGAGGAAATGTCAAGGCTGATATCTGCCTCCACTGGAGGTTTGGATTTTTTTTTTTAAGTCTCCACAGAAGAAATCAAAATCTCAGGGCTTCAGTTCTTGTGAAGTGGGCCCAAATGTGCATGATCTCTGAGGTCCAACAACTCTAACCTGGGAAATTAACTCAATCAGTGCCCAACAGACGACTGGCCTGGAGGGTCCTGAGCAGAAGCAAGTGCAGTTATTCTGGGTGAAGCTCCTAACCCAGGCAGCAGGATCCTCCCAGGAAAAAGGGGTCCTGTAAAAGGGGCTCTGAGTTTGATGACAAAGTACACGAGGGAACAATCCACTGTGAGTCACAAGAGCTCCAGTGAACAGACACCAATCTGAAAGAGAAAACAAACAAATACACTTAATACAATTAAGCACATTAGAAAAAGACACCATGAAGAGAAGACAGGAGGATATGAAAGAGAACCCTCATGGGTTGAAGAATGTCCTCCTAAAATTCATGTCTACTCAGAACTTATTTAGAAACAGGGTCTTTGTAGAAATGATTATTTAGGAATCTTGAGATGGAAATCATCCTGGATGGAGGGTGGGCCCACAATCCAGTGACTAGAGTCTTTAAAAGAGAAAGGACAGAGA